AGGATCTGCTTGGAACTGACGGAGAGCAAGCGTGAAACTGAGGACTGCAGGATTGGGACGGTTTTTATAAGGTGTAGGACAAAGATAATTTGGGGAGAGTAAAGGTAAAATTCTTGCGAGGGTAGTCATGGTAAATAACAACTTGGTAGGAATTTAGAAGCAATCTATCAATATTATTTGTTTAGGATTAGATAAGATAGGTCTGGAGGAACATGCGTCATCGTCGCCGTAGCGATAGTTTGTATAAGATAATACAAAATAAATATAAAAATATACGTTGCGGCACATAACACCTCCCCCCCTAAGAGTGGAGTACGGCTTATAGAATAATATAACATAGAAGGTAGTTAGATTACAATGTGGTGCTTAAAAGCTAAAGTACAGTAGTCTTAGATCCTATGAATATGGGATCAAATTGATCGCTATGAATGTCGTAAAGATCTAAAAGAAAAATTGAGATACTATGGACTTACATTCTGAAAGTAACGTAAATGATATCCTATGATTACTCTAAAACGCATTAAAAATTGGATAGGTTCTTATAAATTTGACAATCGGTTGTTACGTGAACGTGAACGTCGGCCTCGATTGCGACTAACGGACTCGTCCAAACTTATGTTTTGTACTAACGCTTCGCTAGCGGGTACTGCGGGAAACGACGGATGAGCATTCTGACTACGGATGATAGTATTAAAACAATTTTGAAAATACTGCCTATACAACCTTCCTTCGGTATGCAACATAGATATATTTACATTATGTTTTTCTATATCTTCGCATAGCTTTTGAGTACTGAGGTTGACGTTAGGGATGAAATCCTTATCTATCGTGTATACAATATTAGAGGTCTTACTATTTAATAAGACATTATCTGCAATGCCATCGCATTCTGGTGCCAGAGTAACTAGTCCAGTGGCATTTAATTGAATTTGTCGCTGTTTGCCGTCTGGACGTAGGACATCCAAAGTTTTTTCGCGTGGTGTCGTATATAACCAAAAATTTGATGCTTTTAACTGGTGCCATACTGTGGTGCGAAACTTTGTTATTCTGACATCACATTCTTGTAATACATTTTCTAACCTAGCCGTTCTTAACAATATGGATTCGCAAGTATATGTGCTTGGAATTTGATATAATACGAGGGCGGTCCGATAAGTACTTAGCCTCACCGCCCGATGGCGCCACTATCGCAAGAGAAATTTACTATCGTGTAGTACATTCTCGTAGACGACTACTGTCGAAATTTCAGCCGAATCGGACTCGTAGTTTTGTTTTGACCGCGTGTGGAAGCGGGCGTGTCCGCGGATTTTAGAAAAATGGAAAAAGAGCAATATCGGTCGGTGATTCGATTCTTGTTTTTGGAAGGGAAATCGCGCAGCGAAATCAAAGAGCGCTTGGATGCTGTGTACGGTGACTCTTCTCCTTCGATGGCGACCGTCAAAAATTGGTTTAACGAGTTTCAACGTGGTCGCACGTCGGTTTTTGATGAACCACGCCCAGGTGCCCCGAAAACGGCTACCACGGAGGATAACATGACAAAAATCCACGATCTCGCATTGGCAGACCGCCGATTGAAGGTGCGCGAGATAGCTGAGACAGTAGGCATCTCAAAAGACCGCGTGGGTCATATCCTGCATTTTCCTGCATCATATCCTGAAATTTTGGACATGAGAAGTCGGCGCGATGGGTGCCACGTTTGCTCACTCCGGACAACAAGCGCAACCGTGAGACCACTTCAGAGCAGTGTTTGACGCTGTTTAAGCGCAATCCGAAGGAGTTTCTGCGTCGTTTCGTGACCGTCGACGAAACATGGATCCACTGGTACACACCAGAGACCAAGGAACAGTCGAAACAGTGGACTTCACCCGGCAAACGTGCTCCGAAGAAGGCGAAGACTGTCCTATCGGCCGGAAAGATGATGGCCACCGTTTTCTGGGTAGTCGATGTAGACCAGGTGTGGTCTACATCGACTAGCTGGAGAAGGACAAAACGGTCACAGGGCTGTACTATGCCAAATTATTGGGCCGATTCGATGTCGAATTGCAGAAAAAACGGCCCCATTTGGCGAAGAAAAAAGTGCTCTTCCACCATGACAACGCACCGGCTCACACCTCCGCCCTCGCCACGGTCAAATTGGTCGAATTGGGCTACGAACTGCTGTCCCATCCACCGTATTCTCCAAATTTGGCCCCGTGCGACTTCTTTTTGTTTCCAAACTTGAAAAAGTCACTCGCCGGGCAGAAATTTGAGTCGAATGAGGAGGTCATCGCCGCCACGGAGGCCTACTTTGCAGACCTCGAGAAAACGTATTTTTCAGACGGGTTAAAGAAGTTGGAGCATCGCTGGGTCAAGTGTATCGAGCTAAAAGGAGACTATGTTGAGAAATAAATCGCCACTTTTCCAAAATTTTCGTTTTTCTTTTGTAGGCTAAGTACTTATCGGACCACCCTCGTAGATCGATTTGTTTGCAAATTATAATATTGTTAATGATTTTGCATTTCGAAACATCGTTCTCAGAAAGTTGCGTATAAACTTGTTTATCTGTTCTGATTCCAATGTATGGGTAATGTAGGGTTAATGAATGCAAATATCCCCTCCTCATTCTGCTTGATTGGGAAGGGTATCATGTGGTATAAGATAAAATCATGTTGTTTTATAAGAGGTATGTCGATGATATATCGTTCCTGTATCAACTTAAACGGTTGTCCTTATAAAATATACCAATGTCGTTAACATCGATTAAGTTACCGAATTGATGCAATTCTATAACCACAGGTAATTTTCTATTTGCAGGTACTGAGACTCTTTTAATATTTTAAATAATTCTCTTGGTGTAAGAAGTTTTAGATGGATTAGACCACAATGCGCTAGTAATATAGCATCTGTAAGAGTTCCCAACTCGAATTCGTACTCTAATAACATTTCAGCGCATTCGACTAAATAAGAATTTGTTTCCATATTCATTTGTGTGACCGATAATTTACGATGATTGTCCAATATATGTTTGTTTAGTTGTTCCAAATTAATGTTCACTTCTTCAAACTGTTTAGCATGAGCTTTAAAGAGATCACTGAAGGTGTTAATGTTGGACTGGATAACATTAACTTGCTTCTTATAAAGGTTAGTTAATTCTTTTGAATTGTTGTAAGCGCTATCTATCTGATTGTTGTAGTAATCGGCGTCGGATGAGTCTAAAGCACCGAATAGAATTTTTGCAATTTGCCCCATAAAATTAAAAACTCCTCTTTTAAAGCGATATTCTGGTTGGGTAAGTCGTCCTAACATATCATTAATATTTTGGCGGTCAATTTTCAAACTTTCTAATTTTCTTTCTATGCGATGCAGTTCTTGTAGTCCTAAACATGTTGTACTGTTTAGAAAATAGTAGCTGTAGCATAAGATTTTAATTTTATTCGCGTAAAATTTTATTATTTTTTATTTTCCTTCTAGGGGAGTGAAATTAACGTAATTGATTATTTTCCAGTGGTCCCGGAAGATATTCAAATCTCCCATATTTTCGAAATAGACCTCTGCTAGTTTCTTTAATGGTTCATTGGTAACCGCTTGTAATGTATCTGCTCTAGTCGATATTAGCGGCATTAATATTCTCAAAAGCAAGGTGTGTACGTTTTAATCAATTTATGTGTAATATTTGATTAGTTCTGCTTATCCTTATCTCATAATCTGTATCACTAATTTTCCGTATAACCTCGTAAGGACTATTGTATTGATCAGCAAATTTCCTACTGCCGGACCGTATTGTTCCATCGAGTACGTATACAAATTCTCTCGGATCCAAAATTAGCGGTTTTAATCTATCATAGTAATTTTTAGAATTTTCTTTTGCTCGTTTCAAGTTTCTTCCCGCTTCTTTTCGCAAATACGTAAGCCTATCAGTTAAATCTAAAAGAAATTCTCTGTGAGTGATGCCACGTTTTGGCTCCACTAGAGAAGGCAACTGTGGTTTTCGACCAAATACTAATTCGTAATATAAACGGTGTAATATTAATAGCTTCGTGTATTGTATGCGAACATTGCAGCTTCTAGAAATGAATCCCAGTCATTTTGATTTATTGAATATATTAATATATAGTTTTAGATATTCAGCTAAAACGTGATGTCAGCGTTCCAGTACTCCATTTGACTGCGGATGGTAAATGCTGGTTTTAACTTGTTTTATTTTAAAAATTCTTGTGATTTCTTTCATTAATTCTCCCGATATATTGCTACCCTGGTCTGACAACAATTCCTTGGGGGATCCAAATACGTAAATGTATTTATTAACTATAGTGTTAGCGATGGTTGTACTGTTAGTATCAGGTAGAAGATGAGCTGTACAGAATTGATCTTGTGTGGTTAGTATATATTTGTTTCCGTTATCTGTCTCAGTAAGGGTCCTACAATATCTGTAGCTACTTTTTCGAATGCCTTTTTTTTCTTTTTTTTTTGGTAACGCAGGGGAAATCCGTCATGGATACCCCCGGCCCTTGGGGAGGCCGGAGATTATGTCGGACTCTTACCGACTAAAACCCCTGCGGGATGCCTACCTGTCGGACCGGTAATGTGGGGAGTCAGGGGAACTGCTCCCGCATTCCCTCCCCGACCCCCGGCCCCAGGGCTCCTTCTCAGGACCCCACGCCACCTGATACTGCGCCCTGTTCCGCAAAGGGAATCCAGGGCGCGGTCCCAGTCGGTCTAAGACCGACCGGTTGGCCTTCTGGTCTCACCTATAGGGAGAGGGGGCATCCGCCATCACCCCTTACCCCCCTCCCCGTTAGTTAGGGAGGGAGGGTTTCTGGGGGAGTGGGCCCGTCCCCAAACGGGACACTACTCCCCCCTGTCCCTGCATGTCTGCGGCAGTGGGGGATCCATCTTCTATGAAGAAGAGCCGGATCCCCCCTGCCGACGGAGGCGGGCCCGAGGCGGCCGAGGAGGGCTTGGACCCCCACTACTCAGGGGTCCTTCCTCTTCCTCGGCCGGTGTCACTTCGGACCCACTGCCTAAGCCCCCCTTCCTAGGACGCCGACCACTCCGTCGCCTTCTGCGACGGGGGAATGTGGTCGGTGCTCCCTCTCGGCGGCCTCCTTAGACATAACGTCCTTACAGAAGGAAGCCGCCGTTTCCCAACCCTCCTCGCTCCCGCACATGGATTGAACCAAGCGCGGGAGCGAGATGTCCCCACCCTGACGTCCCATGGCCCCGGCCAGGACACAGCGCTCCTCACTCCAAGCCGGACAAGCGGCCAACGTATGGAGCGCCGTGTCCATTAGCACGGGACAGTGGTGGCATCTGGTGGTGAGCTCCTTCCCAATCCGGTGCAGGTACTTGCCGAAGCAACCATGGCTCGTCAGTACCTGCACCAGATGGTAGGACAGTTCGCATCTCCTCCTGCCCGCCAACTCTGGCAGGCAGGGGCGGACAGCCTCCGCCGTCTTGCGCCCGTACTCCCGTGGGTCGGACAATTTGTCCCCCCACATTTCCAGGATACGGGCCACGGTTTGAGTTTTCAAGGCCTGCAATTCCCCGGCCGTTAGCTCCCTCTCCTCGCGGAACTCCTTGACCCTCCAATACAGGATCCGCCGCTCCTCGGCGATGAGCTCCACGGGAGGGAAACCAGCCAGGGTGGTCGCCGCCATGTACGATATTGTGCGGTACCCCCTGATCGCCCTAATGTACATGGGCCTCAGCGCCCACCGCATTCGGCGTATGCCTTCGCGGCAGGCGCCGAGCTGGGGCGCCCATATTGACGTCCCGTACAGGGCGATCGAGAGCACCGCACTCACGTACAGGCGGCGAGCCCTCCATCCTGGACCCCCAAGGTTGCACAGAAGACTGGCCACTGCCAGACCGGCTCCGCGCACCCTGGGGGCACTTTTTCGAACGCCTCGCTTGATGTGTCTGTAATTATCATAGGTGCTTTAGTTTTCTCGCGCACTAGCTTACGCTTCTGACAAGTCCTGGCAAGTCCTGGCAAGTTTTTACGTAGTTTTTAACATCTTGTTTCATGCCTACCCACGAATAATGTTGGATTTTTTTTAATGTTTTAGTGATGCCTTTGTGTCCACCAATCGGTGCGTCATGTAATTCTTTCAGGATAGAGTGTTTCATTGCAGGGTTGGTAACTTCTTGCGGTAGAGATTACAATAGGTATACTTATATAGGTGTGTCTTTAAATAAAAATTTTATCATCTAATTTTGTCTACTTTGATTTTGTCGGCTGGGTCACTTATTGGTGCTATCGAAAGTATTATTTTATTATTTTCAATAGCGTATTTCTTTAGTTTTGAGACAGTCAAAGATAGTTTCTAAATTAGTTAGTGTTAATTTATTTTCTCGCGTAATTAAGTAAATTATGGAGTGATTTTGTCAACTTTGATACTACCAGGTGTAAATGTTGTATCTACGGCTTTATTACCGTCTGATTTTGATAACGTGATTTTAATAGATGGAGACGAATATGTTTCTTTTACGAGTATGCCTTTAATATTACCTGAAGTCTGAGGTACAATGTTATTAGTTACCCACAATACATCATTTAAAGCGTGTTGCAAAAATTGACTGTAAGTAGGGGCTGTATTTCTGCTACCTGAAACTTCTGCTTGTAAGGCGGCTATTTGCGGAGTTCTCGAAAGGGCATCCGCATTAATGTTTAATTTCCCCTGTTTGTAAACTATTTCATAGTTATACTCTTCGAGTTTTAAACGCTAACGTATTAACCGAGACGATGGATCTTTGACAATGAAAAGCCATGTTAATGGCTTATGATCAGTGATTATTTTAAATTTGTTACCGTATAGATATGGGCGGAAATGTTTGACTGACCAAACTATTGCTAAAAGTTCTTTTTCTGTGGTATTATAATTTTGTTCCGCTTTGTTGAACGTTCTAGACGCAAAAGCGATGGGAAAGTCACTACCTATTACGCCTTGCAATAAAATGGCACCTATCCCTACATCGCTAGCGTCTGTTGTTAATAAAAATTCTTTATTGAAATTAAGATATTGAAGTAATGTTTCATTTGACAATAAAGTTTTTAATTTTTCGAAGTTTAATTGCTATTTGATGTCCTATTTAAATGACACGTCTTTCTTAAAAAAGGAAATGGATAAGCCAATTCTGTAAAATTTTTGATAAATCTGCGGTAATAGCCTATAAGTTCTAAAAATTGTCTAAGTTCTTTATGGTTTTTCGGAACGGGGTACTGTTGTACTGCTTTCACTTTTTCCGGGTTAGGTTTTACTCCTTTTTCCGATATGACGTGACCTAAATAAGTTAACTCTTTTTTTAAAAATTCGCATTTCTCCGGTTGGAGAGTAAGACCAGCTTCTTTGAGTCGTTGAAACAATTGCGTCAGTTTCTGTCTGTGTTCTTGTATTGTTTCCGGGTAAATAACGATATCATCTAGATAAACGAAACATGCGTGACCTTGTAAACCTTTTAAAACATTTTCCATTAACCGTTGGAACGTAGCAGGCGCATTTTTTAATCCGAATGGCATCTTAGTATACTCGAAGTGACCGTTAGGTGTGCTAAACGCGGTTTTTGCAGCATCGTGAGGGTCCATGGGAATTTGGTGGAACCCTGAAGCCAGGTCAAAACAAGAAAAGTACCGAGCTTTACCTAGCTGATCTAAGATATTTAGTATATTTGGTAACGGGTATGCGTCACCGACCGTTTTATCATTGAGTTTACGAAAATCGAAAACTAGTCTCCAACGTTTATTACCGTCGGAGCCTAGTTTCTTAGGCACGATCCAGAGAGGCGAATTATATGGAGAAACAGAAGGTTGAATAATTTTCTGCTTTAAGAGCTCATCTACTTGAGTTTCTATTACCTTTTTATGAATAGATGGATACCTATATTGTTTGACACAAATAGGGATATCATCTGTAGTTATTATGGAATGCGCGACTCTGTCCCTTTTAAATTGTCTCCCGGTAAGTGAAATATATTATTATATTCTTCGATTAAAGGCATAATAGAACGTTTTTCTTCCTTGTTTAAATGTTCTAATCTTAAATGTTCTTTTAATAACTCTATTCTATGCGTTACGCCAATAGAAATCATTAGATTAATTTGGAAAACTGAGCTGTCCCTCGGGTTCGTGGGAATTTCCACTAACTCAGCATTAATTATCGGGATTTCTATACGTAGATCTTTTTCGGTTGTATTCATTATATATGTGTAGGTTTCACCGCAGTTTCCCCACAAAGACATCAACGTTATATCCACATCGAATCCACGTAATTTACGTGGACTACGTGGATGAATATTTATCCACGAAATATCGACGTGGATGTAACGTTCTTTTGTCATCGATAAGTCGAAGCATTTCATCCTCGAAATATCAATATAGATTCTACGTAGATATTTCGAAATATTCCTGCGAAAACATACGTCGAAATAAAGAAAGACGTTCTATTTTTGTAAGTAAACGCAGAATTTGGAGTTATTTATTAAAGGAAACGGTTTTATAAATATGTTACATCCTGCAGATTTAACTAACAAAATTGTCTTTTCCTCTCGCGGATTTATATTCTCCTAATATAACTATCAGGTGTAGTAAAAAGAAATCCATTATTTTTCCAATAGATGGCTTTAGTTATCTGTATCTCGCGTTGTATAAGTCCGATCGGGTTCCACTAGATGACGTTAGAAAGATGAGATTTCGTACTAAAAAAACTTTTCTGACAGTTTTGTAATTAGTTGACTTAGTTTTGTTTGAGCGGGCGTCAAAGATGGCAAAGACTAGCAAAGAGAAAATACGCTATATTTTACAGTTTCTCTTCGATAAAGGCGAAAACGCAAGCCAGGCGGCTGAAAATGTGAATAGTGTTTATGGTCCTGATACTGTAACAGCCAATCACGCGCAATTTTGGTTTCGTCAATTCCGTTCCGGTAATTTCGATGTCAAAGATGCACCACGCACTGGAAGGCCAATTGTCGAAAATATCGATAAAATTATGGACATTGTCGAGTCCGACCGTCATGTAAGCACTGTTTCGATTGCCCAAGAGCTAAAGATTGCACAAAAAACCGTTTGGAACCATTTGAATAAGGCTGGATACAAAAAGAAGCTCGATGTATGGGTGCCACACGAGTTAACGCAAAAAAACTTCATGGACCGAATTTCCATCTGCGAATCGCTGCTGAATCGCAACAAAATCGACCCATTTCTGAAGCGGTTGGTCACTGGTGATGAAAAGTGGATCACTTACGACAACGTCAAGCGAAAACGGTCGTGGTCGAATCGCGGTGAGCCGGCGGAAACGGTGGCCAAGCCAGGATTGACGGCCAGGAAGGTTTTGCTGTGTGTTTGGTGGGATTGGCAGGGAATTATCTACTATGAGCTGCTCCCCTACGCCAAAACTCTTAACTCGGAACTGTACTGTCAACAATTGGACCGTCTGAAGGAAGCAATCGCCCAGAAGCGGCCAGCTTTGGCCAATAGGAGAGGAATTGTGTTCCATCAGGACAACGCCAGGCCACACACATAGATAGTGACTTGCCAGAAGCTCCGGGAGCTTGGTTGGGAGGTTCTTATGCATCCACCTTATAGTCCGGACCTGGCACCAAGTGATTACCATCTGTTCCTGTCCATGGCGAACAATTTTGCTGGTGAAAAATTCGCTTCAAGAGAGGCTTGTGAAAATCGACTGTCTCAATTTTTTGCCAATAGGGACGAGGGCTTCGATGAGAGAGGCATAATGAAATTACCTTCAAAATGGCAACAAGTTATCGAACAAAACGGCGCATATTTGACCTAAATCGGATCATTCTAACTCTAGTAATTAAAGCCTTCAATTTCATGCAAAAATAGTGGATTTCTTTTTACTACACCTGATACTAAACAACGTAGCGTCGTCAAACTTCAAACTTAAGCTTTATAAGGTTGGTACTTTCTACCATAGTCATTCTTTTCAAACAACAACCGCTATCTATACGTCAGGTCGGGTACTTCTGGAACTATCCTCGTAAATTGGACATGAAACGTACATCCATTGGATGTCCAGTGCTGTCTGGGATATTTTATTTTAAAAATTGTGTATAAATCTATCTAATATTTACAGAATAATTGTTTCAAAATTTCTATTAGACGTGGAGAGACAATAAGATTACTGTTTCTCAGAAAGTAGCAAAAATGCGAGCCAATAAAGCCGCAACAGGTAATACTGGTGGCCCTACTCCGAAAGCTGTGAAGCACTCCACACGCATCAATTTTGGCAGTGGATGCTGGTGTGTACATTAATACCCGTTTATATGAAAGGCATCTCCATATAGCTTTAAACATACCAAAGAAACGTTCAACAATATTCCTTGCCTTACAAAGTTGCCCTATGTATTGAAACTGTCTAGTGTTTTCGGGAAAATCAGCCAAAGGTGTTATAAGCCATGGTTCCAATGGATATCCTGCATCACCTAGTATAAAAATTGTAATATCCCACACAGCACAAGCGACTGTTTGCCGACTAATAGT